AATTTGCAGAAAATATTTCAAAAAAAAATTTCAAGAATATTAAATTGCAGGAACGTCCTTTGGTAGTGGCCGAACTGATCTCGTTGTTCAATCGTACAGAAATATTTTTGTCCCTTGCGCCGAATCTTACTGAATCTGAAGTATTCACAGAAGTCGAGATGGACACTCTAAGTAAACTGCTCAATAAAACCAAGGTATTTGCTCGATTTGAATTGTAACTTTTTGAATTCGGCTGAAGATCACGGCAATCATCAGTAACAAAAAAGTCTTGAGAGGTTTTAACATAGTTGGATAAAATGAATTTGCACTGATGCCACTGTTTCACTAAATCATTTTAATAATTTTTTCAGGATTGGCTTGCGGAAAAAATGGATTTGCAGTCGAAGCTGAAACCAACGGATGTTCCAGCACTTTCTGTGATTGAAGCAAAAGATATGGTCAGTTCGATATCAGCAATATTATTAGTTAAAACTGGCCGCTTCATTTGTAATGATTCAGAATGTGACATGATTATAGCAGCAGTTGCTAGGCCGAACTTATATACCAAAACTGTAGACAAGGCTTTAAGCGGACCAGGAAATAACGTTGGATTTTGAGACATTGAAAGTAGCACAGCTCTGTGGCGTCCTGAATTGCTTGATATTTTTTGAAGTTTTTAGCTAGCGACAGTGTCTGTAGATAACGTGGGTTTTTTTCAAAACTTTTTGAAAATGGATAAGTATTACGAAATTGTTCATCAGTTGTGAGGGGCCGACTACATTAAATATTTAAACTGTTTTAGTAGCTTGTTCATTAATTTTTTCAAGAATTATGGAGTGCAGCGGGCCATTTTCTTTGTCATCCCCTTTAATTATATTACTGTTTGAATTTCAGTATTTATCTCTTGATCGAGAAATGAAATATCTGTTGAATAAGATGAAGTTTGCGAAGCCCAAAACACCGAAAAAAGAAGTGAAGACGAATGAAACAGCTGCAGAAAATAACGATACCACACCGGAAACAAGTACAGTTTCCGTAGAGGAGGAACGAAGCGAAATTGAGAGCGATAAAGTGCCGCATGAAGGAGATGAAGAGAAAGATGGGAGGACGGCGCACGATAATTCCGAGCTTTAGTTATTTCAAATGTTTCGTTGGTTTTGGTAGTATTGTTCACTTGTTACCGAGTTGTTTATATGTAAGTTTTTGAGTTGATTGTGTGTGTCCTCACACTGCGTCTTAACAATGCGATCTAACGCTTTCGCGCACAAGTTCTGTTCGAACTTCACTGTAATCAGTTTCTAAAACATTTTCTGATTTTCCCCTTTTTTGAATGATTAATAATCTGGTATTCCACTCCTCTGTGATAGCGTTGTTTAGCTCGTTATTTGCTATTTTTGTTTTTGTGGAAATTTTTTTGTTGTTGCACTTTTTCGGTTGTAGCTTGTTGAGAATGAAATTTCTTATTTTGTTGTTACATCTCAGGCTTTGAAACTTTTTAAGTCTTTGCTTTTTCAACATTTATGCTTGCGAGCTTTGCCAGATTTTGATGAAAAACGAATATGATGTAATCGCATTAGCGTGATTTCGGATGCGGATAAGATTTGCTTAGAGATGAGAAGTGCAGTGACAAGGGCAACCTTTCCCGTTACTTTGTTGTTAAATTGCTTTGTCTGATAGCGTTGAATATTGGTTGCAATTTTTGCTGGGTGGCTTTGTACTAGTGTTGGGCTGAGGAGCGGTGATAACAGCCTAGAAAGAGTGATTGGAAGGGTATAAAAATCATGAA